CAAAATTCATCATAATATATCTTTTTAACTCCAAACGGAAAAGAAAGCGAAAAATCTTGTACTGGCAAATCAAGTTTTTCACGCAAAAGAGCATATAATTAAAAACAATAATAGTAAAAGTTATGATATAAAAGCTAAAGTCATCTGCAGTTAGCTTGAAGCCTTATGAAATATCATTCAAGGTAAATTATTTAAATTGTTCCTATTTCAATTGCATAAAAATGAAATTATGTGATATTTACTTTTTCATATTAATAGCACCAATTCATCTTTATCTTTTCTCTAATTTATATGTAATCTTTGGGAACCTATAAAAACTACACTCACTGTTTTTGCTATTATTAGCAGAATTAAATACGCAACATGTATTTTCACACATTTCTGATAAAACTTATGCGTAAAAATATTTTGCCCAATATTCCAATTTTGTCATATTTCGCCGCTACGCACGCTGGCATCGTTTCAATGTACCCCTACCATGGTCACGCACGGAGCGAATAGAATTTAAAGGGAATTTCATCAAAAAAATGTGACTGATATACGATTTTTTTTAACAATTAAAAAGCTGGTTTATTAATGTTTAATTACATTTTTGTCATGGACAATCTTACAATGTATATATTTATGATGTATATATTTATCATAATATTTTTAGGGCATTAATTTTTGTCTCTTTGATGGCATTCCTTCGATGTCTTCTGATTCTAGAAGATCTTCGAAATCTTCAAGACCATCACCGTCTTTATCTCCAATATTGTTTCCTGTCTGTGTTACTTCCTTATCCAGAATTTCATCAGAATCATTATCATTAACTTTTTCGTAGGCTTTTTCCTCCTAATTAGAGCATTTTTCCGAGCCCTGATAACTTGAACATAAATTTGTGCATTTTAAATCATGTTTTTGGCAACCACATTTTAAATTGTTACATCTAGTTTCAAAGCTGCAGCAAATAGTTTTGAGCAGTATTTCCGGGATCAATTCCTTTTCTTTAAATTTGGGCATAATGCCTCGTTGATGTTATTTCAAGCCCAATCTATTGCTGTCAGTTCGTTGCCCAGCCATGTTTGAAGCTGATAATATGCCCTGTAACAATGTTGTTCTGCTGTACCTTCTGTGGGTGGGAGATTTGCCAATACGAAAGATGATTTAATGTTAACTAATTGATATTTTTGAAATCGAAATTGATTCAGCGTTATCTTATCATTTTTGCACTTATCAATAGATTTGATTAATTGTAATCCATTTTTTGCGATATCTTATTTATTTGCATTTTTTTCATAAAAAATGTTAGCCAATCTTGACAAATTTTTAGCGTCTAATAATGAATTTACGATACTTTTCTTTCCTTTCCCGGCAAATCCAGATGTTGTATCGCAACCTAAAACAATTCAAAAATGCAATGATATTTTTGCAAGATTCATATTTGAAACTATTCGACGTGAAAAATTGATCTTTTACTTCCAGAACCTAGTTTAAGAAAATAAATGTCATTATTATTTTCATTTAATTGAATTAAAAGGACCAAAAGATCAATATCTTGACCCACAACAATGACAGTTTTATTTGTATCTCTGGCAATTTCTATCAAAGTCTTAATTATATCAGCATCAGCATCTTCTTCTGCTTGTTTACAGAAAAATCCTTGTGACTCTAATAATTCCATTAACGTTTTGATTATTTTGTCTTTGTTTTTCTCGTTTGATACATAATTATCCTGCAAAAATGGTATTTTAGTATGGTTTTGATAATGAAACTTTGGATAATGTCTACGGTCTGAGGTTTTTCTACGACTACGTTCTCCTTTTAGTTGAATGAGCTGCTGGTGCTGGTGTTACAGTTACTGATTTTTCAATTTCGGGATAGCCGTCAAAAACGAAATGGCTGCCTGCTGCACAATGTTTTTCGACGTAGCGCAAATATACATGATCTCTTCCACCGTTTCATTTTTTTGCCAAATTACTTTTTATTGTTCTGAAGCTATTTTCTTGTGGCATTGTAAATTAATTACTATTTAACTGGGAATAAGCCACAATTAAAGATAAAAATACGTTTATTGACGTTTCAATTTCTACTTCGGAAATCGTTCTCAAAATACAAACAGTAAATTAAACAAATTTTGTTTTTTGTTACATAGTGAAAAATTGTTCGAATAATTTAATTTTATCTGACTTATTTATATTGACAATTCAGACATACATTACATTCGATTACATGAAATCAACTTTAACTTGAGAATAAACGTCAGGAAAACCAGGAAAAAAAACCTCATAATACTATCCCGACATTGTAAGTATTTGTTCGTGAATTAGTTTACCTTCAACAAACATCAAAATTCTGATTTTATATGTTACGTTATTTAAAAAACATAAATGATGTATCCTCTATATGTTACTGACTTACTAATACTGGTATTTTCTTATTAATAACTTCCTCTTTCAATATTGGTAACCAGATCCTACTACATTCTGCCGAGGAATTTGCGACACAGTTGGCCTCATTTAGCACAATTAGAGCCTCTTCTTTGATTTTTCTTTTTTTACCATCTGTTTCTTTTAGGACTACATTTGAATTATTCCATTGATTCCTATGTTCATTATCCCATGCGTGTTTACATATTTGAGATCTATCAAATTCTCTATTTTTAATATAAGATTGATGTTCACTTATTCTAACATTTAATGGCCTCGATAATAATTCACCTAAATAAAACTAATCGCATTCACACGGTATTTTATAAATGCAATTCTTTGCCCTTTCTTGTTTATTGTTAGGTTTGGTTTTGGACAAAATAGATCTCAACGTGTTTATTGTTTTGAATGTTGATGAAATGTTGAATTTAAGTAATCTTAAACAAGTAATTTTAAACAAGTAATCCTTATACGATAGAGCCAAAATTACTTGTTCTAACGAAAATTCGTTCTTGGAGGAGAAACATTTGTTAACATCTGTTTTATTAAAAAATGATTATCCTTTATCGTTTATAAATAAGGAATTTTCAACAATCGATTGAATAGAACAGAACAACTTACAACGAGATCCTACAGTGTACACAAGGAATAATATGAGGAAAATAACAATACCGTACATAAAAGGATTATCAGAAAAACTTAAAAGGATAGGAAATAAATTCAACATTTCAACAACATTCAAAGCAATAAACACGTTGAGATCTATTTTGTCCAAAACCAAACCTAACAATGAACAATAAATGACAAAGAATTGCATTTATAAAATATCTTGTGAATGCGATCAGTTTTATTTAGGTGAATCATCAAGGCCATTAAATGTTAGAATAAGTGAATATTAATCTTATATTAAAAATAGAGAATTTGATAGATCTCAAATATGTAAACACGCATGGGATAATGAACATAGGGTTCAATGGAATAATTCAAATGTAGTGCTAAAAGAAACGGATGGTAAAAACAGAAAAATCAAAGGAGCGGCTCTAATTATGCTAAATGAGGCCAATTGTGTCGCAAATTCCTCGGCAGAATGTAGTAGGATTTGGTTACCAATATTGAAAGAGGAAGTTATTAATAAGAAAATACCAGTATTAGTAAGTCAGTAACATATAGAGGATACATTATTTATGTTTTTTAAATAACGTAACATATAAAATCAGAATTTTGATGTTTGTTGAAGGTAAACTAAATTCACGAACAAATACTTACAATGTCGGGATAGTATTATGAGATTTTTTTCCTGGTTTTTCCTCATAATTTACTATGGAACCACTAACAGGAGAATTTTTACTGTCATCATGTCATGTGTTTGTCTTTTTAAAGACGAATTACATGCTATGATTTTTTTCTGACGGATATTCTCAAGTTAAAGTTGATTTCATGTAATCGAATGAACTATCTTATAAGTAAAGTCGTCCCAGGAGCGCAACTCAACAATATTGGCAATATCATTTTAAAGTCATCTACTTTAAAATGCATAATGTATGTCTGAATTGTCAATATAAATAAGTCAGATAAAATTAAATTATTAGAAGAATTTTTCACTATGTAACAAAAAACAAAATTTGTTTAATTTACTATTTGTATTTTGAGAACGATTTCCGAAGTGGAAATTGAAATGTCAATAAACATATTTTTATCTTTAATTGTGGCTTATTCCCAGTTAAATAGTAATTAAATTACTTTTTGCAGTAAAAATTTACCGTCGACGACATGCACAATGCCGTCAGAATGCGTTGGTCCATTTGTACTCACAAATCGTAGAGCTAAGATTTAACGTTTTTCCTGAGACCATTTTCGGTAAAAAGTGACAATGAAAAAGGTGCAAGTTCTTATTTTAAATAAGTCTGCTTATTTTTTTTTAGTGTCGATCGTTAGAGATATTCGTTGAAATAGCAATAACGGATCGATTGCTATAATATCTCCGTTTACTTTAACGGAAGATTGAACGGTTTTTAGAGACAACACTTTGTCTTTTCTTTTAAATTTGACACTGCCAAAATTCATTCCCACAATAGCTTATAAAGATTTTTCTCCTTCTTCATACGCTTCGTAACAATTTACAGAAGTGCTGCCAATAATTCCAGAAAATATTGACATAATTTTATCAATCTCTGGAAAGGAGTCATATCTGTTGAAATTTATGTAATATTTGTAAATCAGCTACATCTCTTTTTATTCTATATACCCGTGAATCTATGTGCTGCTCTGTAGTTGCAAAAGAAACAATACAAAAATCTTCCATTTTATTGCAAACTTCCACAAGTATGATCATAGTTTATAGTTAATTGTACATAATGATGAAAAAAAAAAAAATTGTTTGATTCAAATTTTCTTGGTATTTTGCGTTTTTTTTTTGTAACATTTTCCATAGTAATGTATATTTTGTGTACATTAATATATTTGTGTGCTCTTAATCGTTTTTAAGTTTTCGGTTTAATTTTGGTTTAATATGATCTTAATTTGTGAATTATATGAATATTATAAATAATGTTGGCCAATAAATTATGTGTCAAACCTTTGAATCAAACTTACCAATAATATCACAGCCGGTATGAACTTTCTGAAGCAAAATCAAACAGAAAAAGGTAACGCACATTGAAATTGAATATCCCACGAAACATTTTTTATGCACGTCTTTTACTTTAAGAAGAAATATATAGATTCCTGCTGAGAAAAAGTAACATGCCGTAGAAACAATAAGACCTAAAAAACAAAAAACATATTTGGAATTATTATATTTTACATAGATTTTAAATAAATTTGGAATAGAAAATTCTCATAGATTAAATAAATATTCCAGACTTGGTAGTTGTTTAAATACATCTTTTTTGTTTTTGTGTTCTTTATTTTTTATGTTTAATTATAATTACTATGATAAGGTTAAAATGATAGTCTTCCACTCTTAACCAGCACATAAAATTACTATTATAACAAAAATTGGATAAGAAGTAAAAAATACTGTGAATTAATCGAACATGACTAATTCTCGTCACTAGTGATGTCAAGACGACAATCTATAAATAAAAAATAAATTGCAAGAGAAGGTTTATTTGTAAGGCCAATTAACTTGTTCAGGACTATAATAAAGTTCTGTTTTAGGTAAAGACTATCTAAATATGTATCTCGGTATGTCTCAAGAATTGTATCTCGGTAACACAAGGGCACAGGGCAATATCGAAATTGCTAACCTTTTTACTGAGTTCTTCTCTGGTGTATATGAGAAAGATAAAGGTGCTCCCATTCCAGATTTTGAAAACTGTGTCAGACACATTGACCCTGTAAACCTAATGTAAGTTGACACTATATCAGTGTTTGATGAACTAAGAAAACTTCCAAACACATTCTCCCCGGGGCCTGATGTAAACCCACCAGTATTGTGACCTTATGACTGGTGAGTTCCCTCCTTTCTGGAAGAACAGTTATATTGTACCCATTTTTAAGTCAGGTAAAAGTGAAGATATTGAAAAACATCGAGAAATTTGTATACAGTCAGCAATCCCAAAACTTCTTGACAAACTAGTGACTTCTCACTTATCAAAACTAACAAATAATATATAATAATATCCCAACAGCATGTCTTTGAAACGGGTAGGAGCACAGTGTCAAAATTGTTGGTCTACCAAGATGATATATTGGGTGCCTTTGAGAGGAAGTACCAGGTGGACAGCATCTATACTGACTTCTCAAAGGCATTCAATAAAGTAAATCATCGTTATTTAATCAGTAAATTAGAAGCCATTGGTATAACTGTCAAATGGCTTATTGCTGTCCGCTCTGGAGTGCCAAAGGGGTCACATTGTGGTCCTCTACTTTTTGTCCTTTTTGTTAACGATGTTGAAAAAGTCATTAAGTATTCAAAATTTCTCAACTTTGCTGATGATAAAAAAATTTATAAAGTCATTACTTGTCAGTATGATCAAATTCAGCTGCAAGAGGATCTCAGCAGATTTAGCGATTGGTGCAAACTAAGTGAATTAATATTAAACATTGATAAGTGTTGTGTTATTACTTTTCACAGGAAACAAACAATTTGAAATTACGATTATAGCATTGATAACACTCAGCTGTCTAGACAGGACTGTGTTAAGGATTTAGATGTTTATTTTGATTGTAAATTAGCATTTCGTAAGCATCTAGATGTCACAGTAAACAATTAGGAATCGTAAAATAGTTTCGAAACACAATTCAGATTTCTGCTTTTATCTGTGCTTTCTAAAAATTGCAAAGCAAAACAGACGTTGATAAAGGTGTTAAAAGAGACGTGGGGAATCTAAAATTTGCATTCCACGACACATCTTTTCAACTAAGCAGAAATCCTTAGCGAATTGGTTTCTAGTACTCGTACAGAGTAAATCCGAAAAAAGTGAAAAAGACAGCAAATATTTGATTTCACGCAAACAGCGCCTTTGTGAGAGGTGAGAGGTGAGAACACCTTTGAATAACTGTTCTGATGAGACCTATTAGGTCGAAATACGTATCAACAGATACAAAGGCGCTGTTTGCGTGAAATCAAATATTTGCTGTCTTTTTCACCTTTAAACAATTAGGGTTTATAACTAGAAACACTTCTCAATTTTCATGTTGTGTTTTACCAATTCTTTTTAATAGTCTCATTCGCTCCAGACTAGAATATGCAATAGTTGTATGGGGTTGTATAGTGTTTGTAGTCCTAATGAGGAGAGAAGCTATTGATATTGCAGATTCTCAGAAACGAATGCTAGAAATACATATATTATACGTATCTGATAATATGCAGTGCCAAAACACCAAGGCCAAACATATCCAATTTTCTACAACATTTGGTGCTTGGTTTCAATAAGGCCAGAATAAGCTTGCGTCCTTAGTCAGATTAAATAGCCGATAAGATGAATCCAATAATGAGCAAACATCTTTTTTAAGTTTTATACCAGTTTTAAAGACATTGAGAATAGCACGTTTTCTTTATTTCTGTTAACCTACCGTTCAGCTATGAATGACACGACTGGATTGTTTGAGGTTGGGTCGTAAAGTCCATCTGCCAGTTGATCTTGAATTGAAAATGTGGCATGTGAGTAAAACGTGTTGAAGGAAAGAGATAAAGCTGTGAAAAACGTCGTTCTATTCTCAGACATGATACTGATGATACAAATACAATCAACAACAATTAATGTGAACATATTACAAGTATATGCACCCATACAAGACTGTGAACAAGAAGTAATTGAAAAATTCTTTTTTTCAAAAAAAGCACCTACAAAGAAACACGATCTCAATATTATCATGGGAGATTTTAATGCAAAGATTGGTGAAGGTAAACAGGAAGATATCATAGGAAAATATGGTCTGGGAATACGAAATGAGAGAGGAGATAGGTTGGCATCTTTTTGCGTAGAAAATCAATTAGTAGTAACAAACACACTTTTCAAACTTAAAAAACGTCGTCTTTACACCTGGAAATCACCAGCAGATACACCTGAACGAGTTGTCCGTAACCAAAAGGACTTTATATGTATAAATAAGAGATACAGAAATTCAGTATTAGAAGTAAAAACATATCCAGGCGCAGATGTACCAACAGATCACAATATTTTAGTAGGAAAAATAAGACTGTGATTAAAAAGAGTTGCAAGGACGAATAAGCAAACAGTTACTACTGATAGAAAAAAGATGTTAAATGATACTGTAAAACAAGAAATAACTAGTATATTCGAACAAAAATGAAGATAACATCAAGAAAAGAGGAAAGTACTGAGTAAAATTGGATGAGAATTAAATACATATTAAAGACTGTTCAAGAAACAAAATTGAGTACGACAAAAGCAAGAAAAAATCAAGGGTGGATGACAGAAGAAATACTGAGACTTATGGATCAAAGAAGGGAAGTCAGAAATAAAGATAAAAACGAATACAAGACGATCCATGCAATAATCAGGCAGAAGATAAGACACGCGAAAACACAATTTCATAGTAAAGCATGTAAAGAAATTGAGCAATATGAAAAGAAACACGATACATACACGATACATACACGATACATCTGCACAAGAAATTAAAAGAGGTCGCTGGTGACAAAAGGAAACAAGTATCTCAAAGTTTAGAAGACAGAAACGGACACAAGAAAAAATTCTGAATTAGTTGAAGATGAGAGAGTAGAACACTATACACCGATTGCTATATCAGGTCCATCTATAACAGAAAGTGAGGTTATACGTTTAATACAAACGGCAAAAAATGGAAAAGTACTTGGCCCCGATGAAGTAAGTGCTAAAATAATGAAGTTTTTGGGAGAAAATGGAAATAAAGCTCTGTGTAATCTCTTTAACAAGATTTATAACACTGGGATACTACCAACTGATTGGGTAAAGTCGACATTTGTCATAATACCTAAGAAACATTGTCCAAAGACATGCGGTGATACACAGCAGAATTTACACGGTGTTAGAGGACAGAATTAGCAATACTCAATTTGGGTTTAGGAGTGGCTTGGGTACAAGAGAAGCCTTGTTTAGTATACAGGTGCTAGTATAGAGATGCAGAGATATAAATCAAAATGTGTACATTTGTGTAATCGATTTTGAAAAGGCTTTTGACAAAGTCCGACATAACAAAATGCTAGAAATATTGAAAACAGCTGGATTTAACGATAAATATCTACGAATAATTACAAATCTATACTGGCATCAAGTGTCAAGAATAAAGGTTGAACAAGAACTGTCGCATAAAATAAATATAAAAAGAGGTGTGAGACAAGGCTGTATATGTATTGTCGCCTTTACTTTTTAACTTATATTCAGAGGAAATATTTAAGGAAGCCTTAATGGAGACAACCGAAGGTATTATTGTAAATATAGTAACCGTCAACAATATTAGATATGCCGACGATACCTTCTATCTAATTAGCCTTCTTCGGTCCATCTTTGGACATATTCCTCCCCAATCCTTTTCCATTCTTCTCTGTCTGTCGCTACACATCCATCTAGAGCCCACGTGCTTCTTGATATTATCTGCCCATCTCATTTGGGGCCTTCCTCTGTTTCGTTTATATTCCCACGGTCTCCAACTTATAAGAATTGTGTTCCATCAGTCTTCTTTTTGTCTTATATTGTGTCCGGCAAATCTCCATTTCAATTTTGCAACTTCTTGTCTAACATCCCTCACTTTTGTTTTCTCTCTTATCCACTCGTTTCTCTTCTTACCCATTAGTCTTATGTGCAACATTTGTCTTTCTATTGCTCTTTGGGTTTTTATGATTTTGTCCATGTTTACTTCTGTAGATGTCCACGTTTGGGAACCATAACTAAGAACAGGGAGTACGCATTGATTATATACTTTTGTCTTAAGATGCTGTGGATATCTTTTGTTTTTAAGAATGTAGCTTAGTTTACCAAATGCCGCCCATGCCAGTCTAACTCGTCTCTTGATCTCTGCTGTTTGGTTCTCTTTATTAAGTTTTATAGTTTGACCAAGATATATATAATCCTTAACTTGTTCTATTTCATCTTGTCCGATTCTCATTGTGATGTCTTCGTCTGTATTTGTTATAGTTTTGGTCTTGCTGTAATTCATATTCAGGCCTTTCTTTCCAGCTTCTACGTCCAGTTCTTTCATCATTTCAAACAATTCTTCTTTTTTATCGGTTATCAATACGATGTCATCAGCGTACCTTAGATGGTTCAAGCGTTGTCCACAAATTTTTATACCTTTGTTTTCCCATTCTAATCTTTTAAAAGTATCTTCAAGAGCCTGATTGAAAAGTTTCGGTGATATTGTATCACCCTGTCTCACGCCTCTACTTATTTGTAATAATTTTGTTCCTTCATAGACTTTAATTGTTGTTTTGGCTTCCTTATATATATATTGGTTATTAGTTCCGTATATCTGTGGTCAATTCGGCTGTTAATCAAAGAACTTTTCACTACCCAATGTTCGACACTGTCGAAAGCCTTTTCGAAATCTATGAACGCCATAAATATAGAGTAATGTGGTATTCATTTGCTCGTTCTATAAGTATTTTCATACTTAGTAAATGGCTATTTGTGCTGAATCCCTTTCTTAAACCACCTTGTTCTTTCGACTGGTATCCATCGAATTTTGTCATCAATCTATTGGTTAAATTTTTTGTTAGGTGTTTATACATTACATTGAGGAGTATTTTAGGACGGTAGTTTCTTATATCTGCTTTATCCCCTTTCTTGTGTAGGATAATGGTTACTGATTCCTTCCAGTTGTTTGGGATTCTTTTTTCTTTTACGATATATTCGACGATACCTTAGTGCTTGCTAATTGCGGAGAAAACCTTCAAAATATAATAAACAAAATAAAACAGACTTGTGATCAGTATGGATTAGAACTCAACGTTAAGAATACTAAATATAATGATAGTTAGCAAACAAAATTATATACCGGATGACGGTATAAAAGTCGGAGATGCCAGAGTAGAGAAACTCGTGTATCTCGGCAGTAATATTAATGAGAGCTGGGATCCAACCGCAGAAATTAAAAGCCGAATAGAACAAGCCCGAGCTGCCTTTGTAAAAATGAGAAACGTACTTTGCAGTCACGATCTTAGCATTGACCTTAGAGTTCGAATGACATCTTGCTACATCTTTCCTGTCCTGCTATATGGAGTAAAAGCGTGGACTCTAACTGAGGCTATCCTTAAACGCTTGACAGCCTTTGAGATGTAGGTATACAGACGACTACTGAAAATAAGCTGGGTCGATAGAGTTAGAAATGAGGAGGTCCTTAGACGGCTGAACCAAACAACACAACTGGTCAATATAATAAAGAAACGCAAGCTGGAATACTTCGGTCATATTATAAGACACCCTGAAAAATATGATCTTTTACATCTGATCATTCAGGGAAAGATCCAAGGTAATCGTGGTCCTGGTAGAAGAAGAACATCATGGCTGAAAAATCTAAGGCAATGGTATGGAAAATCAACTACATCGTTATTTAGACCTGCTGTCAATAAAGTCACAATAGCGAATATGGTAGCCAATATTATATCCAACGATCGATAACGGTCATGGAACTAGAAGAAGATGAAGAGAAAAACGTCGACCAAATTAAGTTAAGGATGAACAGCATGGATGACCTTGTGTGACAATATATTCAGGTTGCCTTCTATAGCTAAAGACACGATATATACAGAAAAAGAGGTCGACACAATATATCCTATAGTTTTTCAACTTGTTTCCTGGAAGCAAATACTTGTTCATACAAGGCACATAAAAGATATAAACGATATCCCTTTATTCTATATGTTTTATATTATTCGATATATAAAGTACTTACATTTTGTTGACAGTTTCGTAAATTACTTTTACCTATTTATTTAAATTACTTACATGGAAAATACACTTGTCCTTTCGATATTTGGTTGGGTACTTTGTCAGCGCACATTAGAAAAATGAGTTCGTCATTTCTGGAGTTAATACAGTATTCATCAGGGCCAATAAGGTCCACATTATTCGCTATAATTGAGGAATTATAAATGAATCCAAGCACTTCATCGTTATTCAAGTAATATTTTCTGAAAGAATAAAATATTTAAAAAAATCTACATCACTTAACAACCTCATAAATTAAAACCTTTGTAATATTTAGGAGCAACCATTTCAACTTTACATAAAAAGGGAAACAAACAAAATTGCGACAATTACCGTGGAATAGCAGTTACTAGTACCATTAGTAAAATCTATGGGAAAATGATCAAAAATAGAATAGAAAGGGAATACACTGATATGGAGGCAGAAGAACAGGCGGGTTTTAGAGCTGGTAGATCGACCATAGACCACCTTTTTTGTATCACCCAACTTATAGAAAAAAAGGTTGCTGTAGATCAAGAAGTCCACTTTTTGTTTGTTGATCTAAAAAAGGCCTACGATAGCATCCCTCAAAATAAGTTATGGAACACTCTCAGACAAACGAACATCAACTCAAATCTCATAACAGCAGTGGAAAAACTATATGAGAACGCCAACGCCAAAGTCAAAATAGGAACGAATGTTTCCAAAGGTTTTGTAGTAGACAAAGGACTGAAGCAGGGATGCTGCTTAGCGCCGACACTTTTCAAAATATATCTGGAACAAGCATTAAAACTCTGGAAGCGGAAATGCAGCGGCATGGGTATACAATTAAACAATAACAACCTGTATACTCTATGTTTTGCTGATGATCAAATTGTGATTGCTAACGAATATGACGACCTAGAATACATGACTCGAAAATTAATCGAAGAATACAAAAAATGGGGATTAGAAGTCAACATAGATAAAACAATGTACATGAACATCGGTGGTAAAGAACAAAATCTAGTTTTAAACGACGGACAACACAATAAGTATAACAATAAATATTCCTATTTAGGAGTAGAAATCAAAGACGACGGCAAATCAGATCAGGCTATAAAAAAACGAAACACTCAGGGTAGAAGGGTCATATCCCAACTAAATAGTATTATCTGGGATCAACATATATCCAAAAAAAATAAACATCGAATATACAACACTATTATAAAGAGCATAGTAATGTATGGAAGTGACGTGTGGCAGTTAAAGGCAACTACTGAAAGAACACTACAAGCCCCGGAGATGGACTACTGGAGACGGGCCGCAGGAAAATCAAAACTCGAAAGAATTAATAACGAACGTATACGAGAGGTTATGGGAGTCACACATACGATTGTCGAAGATATAAGAGTACAACAACTAAAGTGGTATGGACATGTGCAGAGAATGCCAGAACATCGTCTACCCAAACAGATTATAGATTGGTCACCACATGGAAAGAGAAAAAGAGGCCGACCCAGAAAGAGCTGAAGAGAAGGAATAGACAGAGAGATCCGAGAGAGAGGTTTAGACGAAGATCTTTGGGAAGATAGAGATGCATGGAGATTGGGCATCGGAAGACGTTGGAGGACGTTTTAAACCGATTATATATATATATATATATATATATATATATATATATATATATATATATATATATGTAATATTTAGTATTTCCGGAGTAATATTAGTAGCAGGCCGGAACTTGTTGAATTGTTTGGTGTGGAGCGGGATGGAAGAAGGGCACAGATCTTCCCCTGAATACGGCCGATTTGCGCTCGACAGTTTTACGCCCTTATCTGAAATCGACCGGTTTGCGCTTTACAATTTTGATAATAGAAATATCTAACTACCATAGTTTCCTTAATCGGCCTATTTGCGCTCTTTTGCAATATAATTTTAATTTCATACTAGAATAATAGTCTGGTGAACCTGCAATGAACAAACTAACATGTCAAATAAACAGAAACATCTTGTTTCTTTAGATTAAAAAAAAAAATGTCAAATCAAAACTAATTCAAAATTATTAAATTTTTCTAATACTGTCGAACAACAGAGTGTTCTTTAATCTTTAATACCTCTGTTTATATTCCTTCTACCTGGAAGTTAATTGTTTAAATATAGTTAGTAACTAGAATTCCCAAAATGAGAGATCGCTGGAACTAACTTTCCTTTCTACCTGATAATGCGAACTGGTAACTACTTAAGTCATTAACAAAGGGTATGGTAACAGAAAAATTACCTGAAAATTCTACGTGATAATGACCATATTGATGGTCAATCATTTCTATTGTGTTCTTTGAGATAGTAGGATCAAGAATTATTGTGAATCAGTGTGAGTTAGTGTTTTAAAAATGAATGTGTAAATTATTGAAACTTGGAAGGGAAAAGCATGTGCATTGTATAAAGAGTAGAGTTTTCATATGAAAGAAATAAATAAAGATGGTTCGGTTTTTTGGAGTTGTTTGAAAAAGAAAACTGAAAAATGTCGAAGCCACATAATTATCACTCCTTCCAGAATTCCTACCGAAGAAATAGTTTCAAATGTGGAAGCGGCACTCCGCACAATTCCAAAATTCCAGCCGACCGTATCCGCTTTGACGTCGCTAAATGTCTTGATACAGCCAAAATCCCTACTTCCAATATATCTCGTGAGGAATTCATAGCTCTCAAAAATCTCCGTTCTCTTTCTGAGATAATAATCCTTCCTGCAGACAAAGGTAATGCCACAGTCATCCTGGATACTCCTTCCTACATAGAGAAAGTAAACGACTTACTTAGGGATACATCCTGTTATAATACAATTTCTCGAGACCCCACTCCTAGAGTCGAACGCGAAATTTTCCATTTCATCAAATATGTATCTACAAACTCGCAAAGTCCTACCTACAAACTCGCAAAGTATTTGTCGAATCAGTTTAAGACCTATACTGGTCGTACCTCTTCTTATGTCCGAAATTCCACACATTTCATCACCTTAATCTCCTCCCTCATGGTCGATCCCCAAGACATTCTCGTCAGTTTCGATGTATCATCCCTATTTACCAATATCCCCATACATGACTCTATAGTTGTTCTGCGAGATCACTTGACCAATGATAACAAGTCTTTGGTTTTGGCAGATCTTGCGGAAAAATGCCTCCTTTCAACATATTTTTCTTTTAGAGGCAATTTCTACAAACAAATATCTGGAACACCAATGGGTTCTCCCCTTTTCCCTGTCATTGCTGACATTTTGACAAGATACTTCTAATTAATTAAAAATTAATAAAACTTACTCATCGCATTCTAGTTGGTGCTCATAAAATACTGGTTCGAATTCTATTTGTTCGTTATATATATGAGTTTCGTTACTCTCGTAATAAAAATGCTTGTATTCTATTGTATGACTGAGTTCTTCACATGTATTGTTTCTCCACACCTGCGTTTTTGATATACAACATTTGGGAATCTTAGGAAAGGTAATGTCCTGAAAAAAAAAAGTTGAATTAACTTATACTCAATATTCCCTAAATAATATATTTAAAAACATGGAAATAAAGCGTTTACATTATTCTATCTTTTAAATGGTAAACTCTGTTAACCTTTGAGTGGTGACGTATGGTCCCTGACACAGACGTAGTGGATTTTTCGCGCTAAAACTCAAATGCTCATATTGTTTTGTCCACGCGGCCAGGTAGCTTTCGAATCCTCATAACGCTATTCCATGGTACAATAAACTCTCATGGTAGAATCTTGCGCATGACATTTGACACTTTTGACAGCTGAGGTCAAGCGGGTGTGACGTAGCAAAGGTCCCTGTGAGCCATTAGGTTTGTTCCTACAAAGAATCAGAAACTAGTTCAGGGCAGTTTCTGACTGCTGCACAATACGCATGTGCGAATTTAACCAGCCGCGAACTAGTTTGTGATTTTTGTTGGAACAATATCCTATCGAGCTGGCAAGTTGCCTATATTAAATAAACAAATTTTTGTGTTATTTTATTCGCTGTAACAAAGTAAATTGTTTCTTCTTTAAAATGGAAAACAATGAGGAAGGTAAATCTTTATAATTATTATTATCATGCAGTTACCTATAATAAATACTAATTTGTTTTAGATATGGAAGAAATTATTATTTACCATGAAAACCATGTTGAAGATAGTAGTGTTAAAACTGTAGACTATGTGGTCTGGACCACCAATCAGTCTAAAGTATTAATAGATTTATATAAGAAATATAAACCTAAGGTTGGAACTCTCCAAATAAGAAATTTAAAAAAATTATGGGAGATTATAGCCAAGGAAATAAATAAAAATTTACATATAAATGTGTCCCCGTCGCATTGTGAAAATAAATGGCGTGTATTGGAAAGGGGATACAAAAAGTTCGTAGATAATCAGAATAAAACAGGTAGAGGACGAAAATTTTTTGAATTCAAAGATGAAATGGACAGTATATTCAAAAAAAACGAAATATTCATCCCGAGATACTTCTATCTGCTACAAAAGTTATTGAAAATGTGTCGTTGACTTCAGATGTAGTTCTAAAGGAGACTGAAACTCAAGAAGTAGAGAATACTGACAGCCCAGTTCCAGTTACCCACACCGCTACATCTGCACCTAATACCAATACAAAGCATCCAATTCTAAATAGAAATAGAATATTGGAAAATATGAGAATAGAGAGAGCAGAATATTATAAGGAAAGGCTCAGTATTGAAAGGGATAAGCTAGTGGTTCATAGAGAAAAACTAGAAGAGATAAAAAGGCGAAATCTATTACTTGAGAAGCAAAACCAATTACTTGAGAAGCAGAACCAACTACTTGAAAAGCAAAACAAACTTAGGGAAAATCCATAAGATTAATTTATATGTATAGTATTGTTTTTCTGAATAAATATTTTGTTACTTTAACTGTAAAAATCATAATAATTAAAAAATAAAGTATTTTAAAATTTTTATTGTTCTAACAAATTTAAAATTTGATTTCGAACTGCAGCACCATTTCTGTCATCAGGTTCATCATCAGGATCATTATTGTCCAACTGTAAATCAGGTGCTGCTTCATTATTGCCTGCAGGATTGTTTTCATATAAAAATTCATCATTTAATGAAATATTATGCAAAACACAACTTGCTCTTATTAAATGTACACAATCAGCTATAGAGCGTAATTTAAGATGGTATAACTGCCTAAATTTTTGTTTGAGGACTCCTATGCAATGCTCTACTAAGTACCGGTTAGCACACAGTTTTGAATTATAATTTATTTGGGCCCTACTTAACTGCCCCCGGTCTCTAAAGGGTGTTAATAAATTGGGCAATACAGGATATCCACTGTCTCCTAATATATAATAATTTCCACATTTTTCTTGTAGTGTCTGAGACAATGGAGAACTGCGGAATACTCGACTATCATGTACAGAGCCCGGTAACCAATAAATATGTCTCTGATTTGTAATTCATGGTCACATACCAATTGTAACTAAAACATAACATAGAATAAATACATTTTATTACTGTACAGTAAAGAAAATTACCTGAATCGAATAAAATCCTTTTCTATTTATGTAAGAATCTGGATCATCCTTTGGTTTGTCAATCTTGATATGTGTACCATCAATTATCCCAATTACACCTAAGAAACCATTCGTACGAAAGACATTCTCAATTTTAACTTTTTCTTCATCGGTTGGCCATTTTATTATATGACTTGAGCAGTAGCTCAAAAAGTAAGTCACTTTTCGTATCACTCTAGACAAAGAACTTATTGTAATGTTGAAGCGGTCTGCAACATCTCTAAAACTAGCCGTTTGATGGCCTATATACCATAAAAAAATTAAAACTTGTTGCATTGCTGACAATTTACCATATGGTCCTGCATGTATTTTATAGTAGTCACTATTTTGAAACTGTTCAGCTATGGACTCAGTAACATGCCGACTTATTCGAAAATGCTCCTTAAACTCTGTTTCATTGTATTGGGAAACAGTTGTTTCAAAATAGTTTCTATTTTTAGGGCGAATTCTATCTTCCAATACAATTTCTTCCAAGTCATCACTGGAGTCGCTCATAGAGGATAATGACGAATATTCACTGTCACTCATTGTTTTATAAATTATAATATCAAAAGTATAAAACACTAAAATACAATATTATGTATGTACTTAAAACAACAAAATTACCAAAACAAAGGTACCTATTTAAAATTAAAAATAAACAGTGTAGGTGTGAGTAAATCAAAATTCGACTAATTGCGCATGTCTGTGATTACCAGTTTGCAAAAAGTTCGGAAACTTTTCAAACTGTCAGGAACTAATTTCAAACTGGTTTTATATTTCATGGAACAGTGTACTTTGTTGACAAGGTATCAGAGAAAATCTTGTTGGAACGGCGAAATTATTATTGCGCATGCGTCTGACAGTCGGCGACAGTTTGAAACTTCTGTAGGAACAAACCTATTATTTGTAATTGTATTACTGTGTAGTATATATTGTGTAGTGGATTTTTTTGCAAAACTCGTATTGTTCATCTGTTTTTAGCGATATTATTCTTTTTTTGGATAGTATACATGTGTTATAGTCTGTATAGACTGATTTAAGAACATTTACTCGTTTATTTGCTTTCGTGTATCTGTTTGTTTTTGTGAAATTTTGTAACTATTTCAAAATGCGCTGTGTAGTTGCTACTTGTAATAGTGACAATAAAGATAAAACCTTAAGGTTTCATACGTTTCCTAAAGATAGTGTGGTCAGGAAACTGTGGATAATATCCTGTTGTAGAAAGGATAATTTTAAAAGTATTTTACTTGAATGATTAATTGAATACTTTCCTCTGGAGTGGTCCAAAATACCAACTTGGTACCTACCTCTTCTCTTTGAAGTTTTTGTTGATGCTGCTATCACATCATTGAGTGACTAAAGTCTTAGCATATGCACACAAAATTATTTCGTATTATTCTAGACCATTCTGATTGTATTGGGTTACAGAAATTATTGGGCAGTTTTGCGAATTGGCGTGTTATTATCAAATTAACTAATTGTAAAAAATTTCAGGTGATCCTTGTGTATTGATCTCATGAGCCGATAGTATTTAATTATAATTAAAATAATAAATTAATGTAATATGTAATAAAGTTCCTTTAAAAATTTATTTTTTTCCCAAAATACTTTAATACAAGTAAGTCCACCAGACATCCAATGAAGGTTCAATTATCATCGGTGGGTGTTTAGCAGCGTGACATTTGGACCAAACTAGGATGTGCTTAGTACTAACACGAACTTCTGTTGGATCTGTTAACTACTTCTTGTGTCCGTTGGACCCACTGCTGTCATTAGGAAAACCCAAAGATCTAACAGCTGCAACATATACTTTTGAAGGAGTAAAAGATTTCACATATCTAGGCTCAAATCAACCAAAGTAATACAGTAACTGCAGAAATTAACAGATATATATATATATATATATATATATATATATATATATATATATATATATATATATATATATATATATCTAGCAAATAGAACGTACTATGGATTAAAGAAACTTAACGTCAAACAGTCACAAAAAGAACGAAAATATTGATATGTATATAGAACTCTAATCAAGTCTAAACAAAAAGTGATGAAGAACGTTTGGGTTGTTTTGAATGTATAAATGGGACATTTATAAAGGCGTGCAGGAAAACGGATTATGACATAGACGCTACAATTTTGAGCCTCAATATTGGTAGGTCTATAAAAATGAACATGCTGCGGTAGCTAGGCCACTAAGAGAGAATGAAATTGTGATGATATGTATTCCATTTTGTAGATTAGCGAAGACCCAAAACTCTTTATATAAACTCTTTATATAAATTTTTTTTTGTATCTTTTTAAACAACTGAAATATGGAACTCTAGAGTAGCAGTTGTTCAACCTGTATGTATAATAAACATAATTAAAACGTGTTTTATAAAGAATACCTATGTTAACAAAATAAAATAACAGTGTCAGAACCTCGCTAAAATATCTGTACCCAAAAATCAATAAAATTAAATTAGATACAACTTATTTTTTATGATTAAATATTATAAAAACACAACTTTATCATTTCCTTATAAGTACTATAAATAAATTAGCCAAATTATATTAAAAATTTAAAATTAAAAGTCTTTTCTATACAACTGCATTGAAATTTGCGCGAAGAGGGGATCTTGACTACGTCGTGCGCGAAGCGAACCGATTTTGGAACATTATGTGCCATACCATGTGAATTTTATTGTACCATGACGCTATTCCGTCTTGAAAAATCTGTGGCCGAATGCGGATAGTTCTTACGTTATTCGACTTGACGGTGTGGGCGACCGAGGTTACCATTTGTGTTATACTCAACGGTAATTTTTTGTCGTTTTTGGTCCATAGAAAGTTTAAATAATATATATCCATTTTAGGAGTTGTATGTGAATATGGCTTACAAAAGAAAATAAATCAAGTTGCAACAACTTT